GCCGTTTTGGAGACGTTGGTGTCAATCCGAGAGAGAGTGGCGGTTAAGGCTGCCATTTGCTCGGCGAGAGAAGGATTGGTCGATGTGGTGGCGGCTGAGGCAGTGGCTCTTGGTTGTCGGCGTGGACGAGGCTGTCGAAACGGGGTCTCGTCGGTGCCCGAGTGGAAAGAAGATTCATCAATCTCCCAATGCTTTGTCCCCTTTATCTTTGGCCCAACATCGGTTTTGATGTTGTATTCTTCAAGAATTGCCATGACAAGGAGGGCGTAGGGGAGCGGCCGATTGTCGGAGGTGGCCGTGAACATGTGAGTCATCACAAATTTACACCAATTGAGATTGGCGTTGTGAATCATCGCATGGATCGTCTTCGTGTCTTCTTGGGATAGATTGGTGTGGTTGAACTTCCTGGGCTTGAGGATACGTGTCAACACATAGAAGATGAAACGATACACGGGACTCATGGAAGAAATCGTAGGGCGCCGCTGTTGGGGAATGGGTACGAAGTGACGGATGCTCACTTCCTCCAAGAGAGCGGTCTCATTGAACCGCGCCCCCTCTTCTCCGGTGAGGATTTGAATGTTCTCTTCATTCAAATAAATGTCCACCCCGTTGACGTTTGAAATCAACGATCCGTCCTCATCCTTTTTCAAGTTCGAATAGAAAGCTTGAACAAGAAAAGGTTGATAATTGACCTTCTTGATGTAGAGGAGATCGAGGAAGTTTCCACGTTCAAGGATAACCCGTGCCTCACGTGGAATGGAGTCATGAATGAAGCGGGCGGTGGAGAATAGGGGAGGGAGAATCTCCCGGTGCTCAAATTTCTCCGAGAACCGCGTCGCCTCTGCGTGGTCGTTGAACCAAAGGAACAACCCGTCGAGATACTTGTGCGCCGGTGGTGGAGGAGCCGAGGAGGAGGCAACGTTCTTTCCGGTGCGGGACCGCTTTCTTTGTCCGCCTGCGATTTGATCAAGAGAAAGAAAAGAGAAGAAAGGCAAATTTGCAGAGAAAATGAAGGAAAATTGTAGGGATTGATGAAATATGAAGAAAATATTGAGAAGAGTTGATTGGAATGAGTAAAAATGGAATGGATATCACCAATTTATAAAGGAGAGGGCTGGAGATCCGTTGGGGAGTTCAAAAGGTGATTTAAATGCATTTCCAACGTCTCTGTAACGGTCAAATTTTTGAAAAATCGCCGTTGATAATCGATTAACATAAGTTGTAAATCGATTATCAGATGCCTCTGATTCTCCACTGATGGTCCTGCAGTCTTCAATAGTCGATTATCATGTTTTGGTAAATCGATTGTTGGAGTTTGCGCCTGAGTTGCCTTAAACTTCTGCAGGCTCAGATAATCGATTATCTTAATGTTGATAATCGATTGTTTACTCCTTCAGCTTCTGTGCTCTAAATTTCTGTAGGCTGTGATAGTCGATTATCACAAGCCTGTAAATCGATTTACACCAGGTCTGAAGCAAAAATCGATTTACATGTTCCCCCTGCCTTTGATACCTGAAAAATAAAATTTAAAAAGAGCCCTGCAAAAAAGAATTAAAAACGTCTCCGACGTTCAAGTTAGTAGGGACCAAAAAATAATAATTTATGCACAATTTAGATCATCGTGGAGTCAAGGATTCCGAGTTCACTACGAATGCGGAAGAACGACTCTTTCTCTAAAGGTTTTGTGAAAATGTCGGCTAATTGGTTGTGTGTTTCAACGAACTCAATTTCGACATCACCTTTGAGAACATGATCTCTAATGAAATGATGCCTAATGTCAATATGTTTCGTCCTTGAGTGAAGAACCGGATTCTTCGTCAAGCTTATGGCACTAGTATTATCACATCGAAGAGGGACGTGATCGATACTAAGGCCATAATCCACAAGTTGTTGCTTCATCCAAAGGATTTGAGCACAACAACTACCGGCGGCAACATATTCCGCTTCGGTTGTGGATAACGCAACACTGACTTTGATGGGGAATAACCCCACGCAGGGCTGACATCGGGCTTGGACGTTCCGGCCCGACCCAGAGCTCCACTCGTCCTGCTGCCCGGCTCTACGCTCCGCTCGTCCCTCCTGCTCGGCTCAGAGCTCCACTTGTCCTGCTGCCCGGCTCTGCGCTCCGCTCGTCCTCCTGCTCGGCTCAGAGCTCCACTCGTCCTCCTGCTCGGCTCAGAGCTCCACTCGTCCTGCTGCCCGGCTCTGCGCTCCGCTCGTCCCTCCTGCTCGGCTCGGCCAGCCAAGCCGAGCCCGAACCCTGCGACAACGACGTGCGGAAAGCGACGTTCAACAAAGACTTGGTGAAAGCGATAGGATGAAAGGGACAAGACCTAAGGACAGGTGACGTCCGCTAAACGACGAGCCTCGATTAGAGGGCTTTGACTTAGTGAACTGTACCGCCTATAAAAGGGGTGGCACCCCTCATTGTAATGGATCCCCAGTTTGAAATAAATCTACTCCTACTTTGCATTCTCTCTCTCTCTAAAACTTCTATTATTTCATACTCTCGGTGGTTTATAGCTATCAAATTGGTGCTTTCATTGAGAGCAGAGGAACATACTCGTAGGTTAACTCCCGAACGCGAGAATGGTGCAAACAAGGAGCAACGTCCCCACCACCAGCCACGTCGTTGGCGAGGAGAACGCGTCGGGCAGCGACAATGGTACGGGCGGCATTGGTTCGACTCCGGACGCGGTCCAGGCGCTGTTCGGCTTGGGGGTGACCGCGGAGCAGCTCTAGGCAGCCGTTGCGGCACTTTCCGCCATGGGTGGGAACGTGCCCGGCGCCGGAGTTGGCAAAGCTCCGCCCAATCTCCATGGCGAACACGCTGCCACTTCCCAACACAAGGGGAAGAAGACCCGGAGGAGTAGAAGGAGGCCCGGCAAGGCCCCGGCAATCGAGGAGGTGATTGTGGAGGACGTCCCGGATGAGGAGGACGATGAGTCCAGCGAGTGCCAAGTGTCAACCTTCAGGCGCTTAGGAGGGGAAGAGACCCGGGTGTCGGCCTTCAACAGGCTCGACCGCGGACCTGAAGTTTGCCCGGGCGACCTCCGCCGACAAATAGCCAAAGGCAAGCGGAGGCATGCTGAGGAGTCTGCAACATCGGATGCTCGCTCGGCGAGGTCCGAGCGGAGCGGAGAGAGGCGGGAGGAGCGCACCCAGCGTCGCCATAGCCCGACGAGAACTGAGAAGACAAAGGTCTCTGACCAAGGAGTGTCTCGGCTCGCACGTGAGGTTGCCGAGCTTAAGCGCCGAGTGGAGACCAGGGCTCCCTACAGCCAACCCATCTTGCGGACGGTAACCCCGTTCACTCCGAGGGTTATGTCGGTCCCGCTGCCGGCAATCTTCCGGCCGTGGCAGATCAAGGCCTACAATGGAACGACGGACCCCCAAGATCATTTTTCTAAGTTCTATGCTTCTATTGAAGCGGCGGCTGCCCCGGACGAGGTCTAGTGTCGATGCTTTCTCGCGACGCTGGAGGGCTCTGCGTGCGATTGGTTCAACCGGCTCCCGAAGGGAACTATTGACGATTGGGATACACTGGCGGAGAGGTTCTTGACGCATTTCGCGGCAAACCGAAGGCAGAGGCTCCCTTACTCCCACCTGCTCAACATATGCATCCGCAAGGGAGAGAAGGTCCGCGACTTCATAGTCCGGTGGGAACAGGAAGCCAGAGACGTGCATGGGGCGGATGACCAAGCGTTGGTGGCCATGTTCCAAGCAGCCCTTCCCCGCGGAGAAGTGAGGAAGGAGCTCCGCAAGAATCCTCCCCCCACGTACCAAGAGACCTTGGCGCGCGCTAAGTTCCTAGCCTCGGAGGAGTTCGATGATGTTCCCGACTCTGAGCCCGCGCCCGCCAAGCGAGCTCCTGCAGACTCCAGAGAGGCCGCGAAGAAGAGAAAGAAGAAGAAAGATTACACCGCGGGCCCGAGGACGCCTTCGGCTGGTGTGTACTCCGTGGGTGCGCCCGTGGGGACGGGTCGAGAGCTTGCCCTCTTCTCGCTCCCGCATGTAGAAACCTATGCGGTGTCCAGCGGTGCCAGGTATTGCGAGTATCATCGCAACAACACTCATAACACTAAGGAATGCTTCACTCTCTAGAAGGAGATGCAGAGACTCATCGCCCGAGGGCCGCCTCCCCGAGATGATGGAGCAGCCCCATCTCGGGGGCCGCCGGAAGGAAGAACTTGGAGAAATCCGGCCGAACCGGTCGCGGTGGCCACGCAGGCAAGGAACCCCGAGAAGAGGCACATTGGGCGAGAGTGTGATGATCTAGACGAGGACGAAGCCCAAGGATATCTGATGGGATTCTTCCATGGAGGAAACATTGGCGGGGACTCCGTCGCTCAAAGGAAGAGGTGGAAGCACATGGCCTTCGTCGCCAAAGTCCATCAGGCGCCGGCGCCCAAGAACGGAAGACGTGAGCAAATCCAATTCACGGAGAAGGATCTTCCGAACACGCCGAGCCCCCACCGGGATGCCTTGGTCGTGAAGCTGGAGATTAACAATGCCATAGTGCACCGCACCTTGGTGGACACGGGAAGCTCGGTCAACATAATGTATGAGAAGACCTTCCAAGACCTCGTCTTGGACCGCAAGGACTTAAGGCCTGTGTGCACTCCACTCTCCGGGTTCACGGGGGACTCCATCGAGGCCGAAGGAGTCATCGCCGTGCCCGTGATAGTAGGGGATGGTGCGCACAAGGCCAAGCTGAAGATGGAGTTCATGGTTGTAAGCATCAACTGCGCGCACAACATGATCCTAGGACGGCCCGGCCTTGAGGACTTGGAATGTGTGATCTCCCCATACTACTTGTGCATGAAGTTTCCCACTCCTTCGGGAATCGGGGTGGCGAGGGGAGACCAAAAGTTAGCTCGATCGTGCTACGTCCGTATCACGAAGAAATTGCCAAGGGATGAGACGTTGGTCGTGCACGCACAAGAGGAAAGGCGGAAGCTGGGAGCACGACCCAAGGCCGAGCCCGCCGAGGAGGTCGAGGAAGTGTCGCTCGACCCTCAGACACCCGAGCAGAAGGTGAAGGTCGGGGCGAGCCTAACTGGGAGCCAGCGGAAGCGCTTGGTGGGCGTGCTCTCTGCCTACCGCATGATCTTTGCGTGGGGCCCCGAGGATATGCCGGGGTGGATCCCAAGGTCATATGTCACCGCTTGGCAGTCAATCCGGAGGCTAGGCCGGTGAAGCAGAAGAAGCGGTTCCTCTAGTCCGAGCGAAGGGAGTTTGTCTCCAAGGAAGTGGCCACCCTCCAAAGCATTGGGCATATCAGAGAGGTCAGGTACCCGGAGTGGATGGCCAACGTGGTGTTGGCTCCAAAGGGAAACACGTGGAGGATGTGCGTGGACTACACCGATCTAAACAAGGCGTGCCCCATGGATCCGTTCCCACTCCCGAACATCGACCAGCTGGTGGACGAGACGGCGGGCTACGAGCTCATGAGTTTCATGGATGCTTTCAGCGGGTACCATCAAATCCGAATGCACCCTGAGGACGAAGAGAAGACGTCTTTCACTACCCCCGGCGGAGTATATTGTTACAAGGTGATGCCTTTTAGACTCAAGAACGCCGGGGCAACCTACGCTAGGATGGTGAGCAAGCTCTTCGCGCCCGTCCTCGGGAAGAGCATGGAAGCGTACGTCGTCGACAACCCTCGGCTGAACCCGAAGAAGTGCATGTTCGGAGTTCAAGGCGGCAAATTCTTGGGACACATGGTGAGCAGGCGCGGTATTGAGCCCAACCCCGAGAAGGTGCGCGCCATCCTTGACATGGAGGCTCCACGAAATGTCAAGGAGGTGCAGCGCTTGACCGGAAAGTTGGCTGCGCTCAGCCGATTCCTTTCTAAGGTAGCGGATCAGGCCGCTCCGTTCTTCCAAACTGTGAAGAAGTCCTGAGGGTTCATGTGGACGGAAGAATGCCAGCAATCCATTGAATCTCTCAAGTCCTACCTCCTCTCCCCTCCGGTTCTCGCGAAGCCCGAAGCGGGGGAGACGTTGTACTTATACTTGGGAGTTTCACCCAAGGCTTTGAGCTCGGTCCTAGTCCGAGACGGAGGTGGTGCTCAGCCCCCGATATATTACATGGCGAAGACGCTGAGAGGTGCCGAGCTCAGGTACTCAGTAGCCGAAAAGACGGTCCTGGCCGTGGTTTCGACTGTGCAGCGGCTAACACCCTACTTCCAAGCTCACCCGGTTCAGGTGCTCTCCCAACAACCCATAGGAGCGCTGCTCAGGAGCCCGAACGCGCCCTCGCGCATGTCCAAACGGGCGGTGTTCCTTGGAGCTTTCCAGATCAAATTCAAGCCAAGGCCAGCGATCAAGGGCCAAGCGCTAGCTGACTTCGTGGTGGAGTGCACCGCTCGGGAGGAGCCGAGCCTCGAAGAGCCGGAAGCCGATGACTGGTGGATAGTTTTTACCGACGGCTCCTCCGCCGCCAAAAACTCGGGGGGTGGAGTGGTAGTCATTGCGCCCGAAGGCTTCAGAGTGTATTACTCAATTCGATTAAGTTTCAAGGCATCAAATAATGAAGCGGAATATGAAGCGCTCTTGTGCGGGCTACGCCTAGCAGCCGGGATGAACGCAACAAAGCTAAGGGTAAAGTGTGATTCAAAGCTGGTGGTTGGCCACGTCTCGGGAGAGTTCGAGGCGAAGGACGAAAGAATGAAGAAGTACAGAGATACCGCTCTAGAGTTACTTAAGAGTTTCACCGCGTATAGTGTGGAGCAGATCCCTCGGGCGGAGAATGCCGAGGCATATATCTTGTCGAAGCTGAGCTCGGACATGCCCGAGCACATCAGGCGGATGGCGAACGTGGAAGAGTTGTCCGAGCCGAGCATCCATGCCTTCCCCGTGGCGATGATCTGTGCTCGGCCAAGAGATTGGATGGACGACATAGTTGCTTTCTTGAAGGATGGCGCCCTCCCGGACGATGCAATAAAGGCCAAGTTGGTCCGGACAAGGGCACCTGGGTACACTTTGGAGGGTGAAAAGCTATACAAGCGAGCATACAATGGTACGCTGCTCAGGTGCCTCCGACCAGCTGAAGCGGAGCAGGTCATGGAGGAGGTGCACGCGGGGATCTGCTCCGCCCACCAAGGAGCCTACGCGGTGTCAAGGAAGATAACCCTCCAAGGATATTTTTGGCCAACAATTGTTAAGGATTGCGCGGAGTTTGTGAGAAAGTGCAAGGTGTGCCAAGAGTTCCAGAAGGTACCAGGGAGGCCTTCAACAAACTATACCCCCATCAGCACAGCTATCCCGTTCGCGCGGTGGGGG